GTACGTGATATCGTGCTCACTCAGCTCGATGGCCCATTACCCAATAGCTCAGGTTTATGCAAAATACTTCTCGAGGGAAAGGTCATGATGACCGAGATGGGGTGGCATTAGAAATATGGTCTAAGCTTTTGCGAAGCTACGACTAAGGCCAGGGCCAGCTTTTCGAGATGAGGATACCTCATCTCGACGTCGACTAGTGTTTTGCTAATGTAATAGATTGAAGACTGCAGACCTCTATTTTCTCGAACCAAGACTGCACGCACAGCTACCTCGGATACAGCAAGGTAAACGAAGAGACGTTCCCCTGGCTCCGGTTTTGAAAGTAATGGTGGTGATGTCAAGTGTGCCTTTAATTCCTTTAGGGTGGATTTCTTGACTTTTCGCCAAGAGGGGGTTTTTGGTACTAACTTGGACGCAATCTGAAGTCCATTGGAGGCCGTTATCTTTCTTAAGTACGCCGAAGAACTGTGACACTTGTCCAATGATCGTGAGATGAACCTTGATAGGGCGCCGATGCGGCTAGTCAACCTCTAAACTTGTTTTTTAGTGGTCAAGTGTTCCGGTATCCCCTCAATGGCTTTGATTTGATCAGGATTGACCTCGATTCCTCATTGTGATACCAGGGAACCTAAATTTTTTCTTGAGGCCACGTCAAACGTACACTTTTCGGGGTTCATTTTCATTCTGTATCGTCTGAGTATGTTGAAAGTTTCTCTTAGATGGTCGATATGATCTTCTTTCCTTTTGGACTTGATTAGCATGTCGTCTATATAGACTTCCATCATTTTGCCGAGCTGGTCTTTGAACATCCTCGTCGCCAACCTTTGGTAAGTTGCCCCTGCGGTTTTCAGCCTGAAGGGCAAGACCTTGTAGTAGTACGTCCCCTGATGGGTGATGAATATGGTTTCCTCCTGATCCTCTTCTTCCATGAGGATTTGATTATAGCCTGAATAGGTGCCCAAGAAGCTCAGTAATTCATGCCCGACCATTGCGTCGATGAGTTGGTCGACATGGGGTAATGGAAACAAATCCTTGGTGCATGCTTTGTTCAAATATGTGAAATCCACGCACATCCGCCATTTCCCACTCTTCGTTTTCACCATGACCACGTTGGTGACCCACTAGGAGTACTTCAACTCCCTGATGGAGCCATTTTCCAATAGTTTTTTCACATCTTCACGTACCGCGTCATTAATCGCGGAGTTGAAGTTACCCCTGACCTGACTCACTGGGGGTGGAATTGGTTGACTTTCAGTTTGTGTGTGGCAATTTCCTTTGGGATACTCGGCATATCTGCATGGCTGAAAGCAAAAAAATCTACGTAAGTAGTTAAGAATTGACGGAATTTACCTGGTTCCTAAAGTTTGCAACCGATGTAAGCTTTCTTGCTGTGATCGTTGATGTCAAATTGAACGGGGTCAAGGTCTTCGATGGTCGATCCCGCAGCTTCGACCATATCAGGGTCTCTGATGACGTCCTCACTATCGTCACATATCGACCTCGACCCTATTGATTGCTATGCCTCTTTTTCTTTGTCCTTCGTTTGTTGAGTGATCGTGCAGTCTACGGCGATGCAATAGCATTCCCGAGATGTGCGTTGTTCCTCCCGTATGCTAAATATTCCCCATGGAGTCGGGAATTTGATGACCTGGTAAAAGCTGGAAGGGATGGCCCTCATGGTGTGTATCCATGGTCGCCATATTATGGCGTTGTACACCGTGTCTTAGTCCATGATGCAGAATGTTGTTTCCAGAGTGATGCCACCGGCCAGAACGGGGAGTGTGATTTTGGCCAGATGTTTGCTCGACTGCATTGTTAAAACCAGTTAGTGTGATACTACGCGACACTATCTTATCTTCGAGTTTTATTTGTGCAAGTATTCAAGGATGGATAATGCATGCGCCGCTCCTGTCGTCTACCATAATGCGTCTCACATCAGTTTCTAAAATTTGTAAAGTAATAACAAGGGCATCATAGTGAGGAAAAGCCAAACCGTTGGTATCCGACTTAGTGAAGATGATACTTTCTTCGAGTTCGTCATACAGTTCGTGGGTGATTGACCGTTTGAGCTAATAGGTAGTGATGAACTTCACGGTGTTAATGGAAGCATCGTCGCCACCACCGATGATCATGTGAACGGTACGGGCTGGTGAGGGCGGTGTCGGCAGTCCTTGATATTGTTCACGTCCTCTGGCAAAGTTGGTCTTTCCCCAGTCGCTCAGTAACTCTTTGAGGTGTCCTTGTCGTAACATGATTACGACCTCCTGCCTTAGAGCAATGCAATCTTCATTTTTGTGCCATTGTTCTTGGTGGAACTCGCAGAGGACGTCCCATTTTCTGGTACGAGCTTCTCTAGGGCTATCTCTGTAGGTGGCACACAAAAGTTGTGAGCGGATAGTAAATGGGCAATACCTCTTTCGTTCCGGTGAGTCTCTGTCCTTGATCTAGGCGGGCCTTCTTCGTGGCGGGAGGAGGGCGCAACGACCGCTCTGACATATGGTTGATGTTGTTCCATGTTAGGTCGTAGAGCTACGAGGTCTCTTCTGGTATCATTTCTTTGATCTTTTCTGGGTTCGGCCTGTACCAAGGTCAGTCGATGAGTTGGTCCATTGAGGTCGTCCTCATCTGCTCGGACTTCGGCATAATACGCGTTGTGTATTTTATTCCAAGTGGTTGGGGGGTACTTCATCAGTCGACTTAATAGCTTTCTAGTCGCCCTCGAACTATCCCTGCTCAACCCGTTCTGAAAGGCTACAACCGCCATCCCTTTTGATACGTTCAGTTGGGTCATCCTTTCTTGGTTGAACCGAGTGAGGAAGTCCCTCAATCCCTCTCCCGAAGACTGATTAATAGCAAATATGTCGTTCACTCTCGCCTCGGCCTTCTTGGCCCCAGCATGGGCCGTTATGAACTTGCCGGCCATCTCTTCGAAAGTTTCAATGGATCGTGTAGGTAGTTGTGAATACCATGTTAACACTCCTCCTGTGAGGGTCTCACCGAATTTTTTCAATTAAATGGAGGATACTTGTTCTTTGGCAAGATTATTTCCTTTCACAGCGGTGACGTAGTGAGTCACATGATCTTCATGGTAGGTCATGCCATCATATATCCTGAGGTAGGGCGGCATTTTGAAGGTTTTTGCTATGGCATGTGGGATTGCATCATCACTGTACGGCTGTTCGACGAACCGACCAGCGTCTCTCTTTGGCAACAGCTTGCGAGCACCTAGTATTTTATCGACCCGTTCCTAGTGCTCTTTCATTTGATCTCGGAGTACCTTGTTCTTGTTCTCCATTTCCTCAATCCTTTTCAAAACGGCTGCAAGAGCGTTGTCACCTGCATTATTGATGACGTTGTGAGTAATACCTGTAGTTGGAGGTGTGGAGGGAGTTGGTTGCACTGTTCGTCCGTCGGTTGTATGGGGAAAATCCTTGCATTTTCTACAGCTGCGTCTTGGGCGGGCTTGTCGAGGACATTGGTTAGCGTGTCGGTTAGCCACGCTTCGAGGAGCTTTTTTACAGCTGGGGGCATCCCTTCCCTCACAGATATGGAGGCTCCCTTACCAAGAGATTTTGTGATGCTGCCATGAGGAGGCAGTGACCCGTCTCACCTAGGGGAGGCACTGGGCGTTGCGCCTTAGTTTGCCGTTTCATAGCTTTCGTTGATGACGTCCATGAGGTTAGTTGGGAGGTCATTGATTATTCTCGCACTTTGTTCTCGGTTACCTACTATGTTAGGATTTCGTACGTACAAAGAAAGGAGACCTTGTTCTTGCTTTTTTTTTTCACGTTAGTGATCGGTGTTAGTGATAGATCTAGAAGAAACTAAAAATTTAACTAGGAAATTTTCACAGACGACGCCAAATTGTTTGACCAAAAAGTATAACTTTTGGTTAAAACTATTGAGTTTATATAACAATGGGTTAAACTTAGTTAATAAAAATATCTCTAGATGTTATTTTCGGAAAGGTGACTAGTGTTGGTCAGATCTAGTGGAGGATCGACAACAATATGCATTAACTATTCCAAAAAGCATGAGCAATAATGTAGCAACAACTAGCAATAAATAACAATAAATGGTGTTTAAATAAATAGAAGGAATGATTCATTCAATAAAGTATGAGCTGGTTGATTATCCCTCCTGACAATGATGAGTGACAGACAAATCCCAGAATGTTCGAATTATTCACAGATCTGATGGAAAGGTGTGGAATAATATGAACAAAAATCTAGATGAAAAGGTAGTGTTTGTATATTTGTAAGAGAGAAAAAGAATCTTTAATCAAAAGTTTGTTCTTGTCAAATGAATGTCACATGCCCTACACCCTTGTCTTCTTTTCTATTTATATATGAGACATTTTCTTAACAAACCTTAATAGTATAAGTGCAGAGAATATCCACTAGAATATTCTCTTTAATATCCTATTCCCAAAACTAGCCGTTACAACTTTGCCAATTGTGCTCGACCTCGACCCTTGTTGACATCTCGGCCACGAATCTCGCTACTTCTAGGTTGACCTCGACTGATGATGGCTTGAGGATTCTTCCTTTAGCGTTATCTTGTCTTAAATATTTTAGGGCAGATTTTGACCTATACAATAAGGAGTGTGTATGTATACTTGCCCCTACCTAGTGATTAGACTAGAAATCTAATTGCTTAATTTCAAGTAGTCCAAGAGCTAATTTGATCCTTTTCCAAAAAGAGAAGACCTTGAAGTCCCTATTGAGCCTCGTTGTCCTAGGTATTCCCCTTTCAGTTGCTCTCCTTATTTGAATAAAAATACTACTACTACTAATAAGATTATTATGCTAATGACAAGGACCAATTTCGTTGATGTGAAATGAAATTATAGCATAGCAAGATCATTAATTCCCAGAAGCAGCTAATTTGAACTTGCACTTTGCAAGAGTTAGAACCATGAACTCTGAGCCATATAATATCTATCAAATAAAAGTGCATGGAAAATCTAAAAAGAACCACAACCATGAAAAAGTAAACCAGGGGCGTTCCTAGAATCGAACTCGGGACCTCTCGCACCCAAAGCGAGAACCATACCACTACACCAAACGCCCTTATTTGTTAGAGAGTTTCATATAATATAATTGAGTGTTATGGTAGACCGGTATCCTCTTGTTAACCCTATTCTAATCAAAAGACTAAAAGACCCCTACTTAAGATAGGTTGCCACAATCTCATCTTATTAGGTTACTCTGGGGTTTCAAAACTTCATATTCAATACTCCCTCCAGTTCACAATAAATGTTCAATTTGCTTTTTCATTTTGGTTCAAAATAAGTGTCCAGTTATGTAATCAAGAAAAAATTCAATTTATTTTTACAAAATAACCCTTATGTACATATCCCCAAAAAGTTTTCTTACTCCTCACATTAAATGTTTAATTAGGGATAGTTTAGTCATACTAGGTATTTTTGTATAGGATTTAGTATTTTCTTAATGGGCGTGCTAAAAGCAAATTGGACACTTATTGTGAACCGGAGGGAGTAACCGGGAAGCTCAAAATTAGTTACTCCAACTAGCTAGTCTTCCGGTTGATTTAAGTGCAGCACTTGATATTTTAATAACAAATTAATATTACATAAAGGCTAATTGATCATAATGGTTACCTCTTAGACTATATATTGACTTTGAGATTTGCAAACTAATTATACATATTTCATAAATTTTGGGTGAATGAAGAAAAATAATATTCCTAGCATCAAATCAATTCCCTAGTAGGCCGGAAATTGAGTGCACTATCTTTCTGGTATTCTAATCATGTTACCCCATTTTGAGAACATTAAACTATGAACAAGTTGATTCATGGTTGACATCAAAATGTATGTTAGATTCCTTTTCTGCGGATGATTTTACACCTTTGAGTAGTAGACAACTTTTGAGGTTCTTGTCAAATTATATATCATCAAGATGCCTCAACCAAGTTGACATTATTTGATGACAATACTTCACTTGAACTTTTCAAATAGTTTTCAGCATTTCTCACTTATCCTTAAATAACTGGCCTAAACTTTGCTTGTTTGGTTATTAATGGAGCTGATATGAGCACTATATATTTTCCGAATTCAGAAAACAGGGAAATTAATTCTCATTTGCAAATATATATAACGATACAACCTTGCAAGAACCCACCCAATGTTGAGAGACAATTCAAGATTTACATACAACAAAAGCACTTGGTAATATACATATTCTTTTTTCACAATTTTATACACATCTAATACGTATACGCCACATATTCATATACAGATAGATATATCTAGAGTTCAAATATCTGGAGATGAAATCAAGCTTTACAAATTTAACAGTAGAAACAACCGTAATATATATACTCTCTTTTTACAAATCTATATATATACTATAATTTAAAAAAGAACATGCAAATTATGAAGTGCATCTACTGTTTTTAAATCTCTAATTTGTGTCTCTAATGGGGCCTCATGCACCTCTGACTGTGTGTGCGTTGTAGGCAACCTAGATGCTCTGAGTTCTGAAGATCAGTGATTGATTTCACAGTTCAAACTCATAATTTAATCACACAAAAACAATTGTAATGTTGCTTTAAGACCCTTCTTGCTTCTGCTTCAATTACAACCAACAACAACGACACAAGTGGGGTTTAGTGTGTAAGCAGACCTTATAACCCCTACCCTGAGGGAGGGAATAGAGAGACTGTTTCCGATAGACTCTCGGCTCAAGAAAGCAAAAAGAAACAATATATCAGTACCATGCATCCACATAAATAATATCAATATCGTAAGAATCAAAAAATAAATGAAAAAAAAATTACAATAACCAATAAATAAGGCTTGCTTATGCTTCAATTAACTTGAAAAATTAGAAGTTAGAAGAAAAGGAGGAAAAAGTAATAAGGGAAAATGTGAAAAGATTCGTAGGTGAAAAAACATGTAGCTAGCAAAGAAGCACAGTTGGCACGTTGGCTGTCACAAAAAACAACCTGCTGTTCGTAATAGAGGAAGACGAACATGGTAGTCTAAGACTCTACGTCAACAAAGTTTGTCCACATTAATTGACGATTTTAATTAAGATTCCTTTACAGCAACAACTAAAGTCGGCCAGTTATAAATTACTACTTAATTAACTGTAAATCTAAAAAGCTTTTGGACCTCTCTCTCTCTCTTTTCACGTAATTAATGGATTAATTGACCTACCCTTGAAATGGAAACTTAAGACCATATTTTCTTAATTACACCGTCCACCTCTATGTTTTCATACTGCTTTGTGCGACTTCACATAGTAGTTTACGAAATCTGGGTGTGAATTTAATTTCTCAAGGGACTGTAAATCACTAGTACGATACTCTAACTTAGCCTACGTGGCCAAGATCCTAGGAAGCCAAAAGTAATTTTTCTCCTCAAAAAAGTATTTTTTAAAAAATTGAAATTGTTTGGCAAAGACGGAGAAGTACTTTTGACCAGCAGCAGAAGCATTTTTATTGCTTTTAGGAAAAAGCAGAAAATTCTAGCTTTTTTCGAGAAGCAGAAATAGAAAATTAATTTATTCAAGACTGTTATTTGTGGCTTGAATTATTTCCTTGTATTTTTAGGAAACCCATAATCCCTATAGGTTTAGGAAAACTCATTGTCCTAATAGATTTGGGAAAGGAAAACATATGGTTCTTGTCAAATTAGAAAACCTTTCTCTTATATGTTTGAGACCTTTTGGGATCTAATATATAAGGGTTGTAGTTGGGGATCCTAGAGATTGTATTGTGCTTTTCTTCTCATTCATAGTGCAAAAACTCTCTCTGCTTTTGCCCCGAGGATTAGGCTTAGCCTAACCTCGTTAAATCCTTGTGTTGATTTTTCTTCTCTATTTGCTTTGTGTGTGATTGTGTGCTAGATAACCCACGATATTCTGCAATAAAGACAAAACTATCCTCACTATAAATTTATATTTTCCAAATTATTCTTTATTGATTTAAGTTTTTTTTTTTGTTTCTAGCTTTTGCCATTATTTTAAATTTAAAAATATCATATACATAAATCATATTGTAACTTTCCAAAATTTTTATTGACTTTTTAAATTTTTTGATTTTTTCTTTGTGTAATATCTTGTAACTTTCCAAATTATCTTCATCTTTTCTAACACTAAAGCATTTTATCTACATTCTTCTTTGAATTATCAATTCTCTTCTTACAAATAATCATTCATAATTTCTTCTCTTATAGGCTATTAATTCCCCGATCTTTAAAACTGTTATCAAATCTAATTTGTGAAAATTACCTACAATTAGGTAATAAATTTATAATTGCATTGCACATCTATATATTATTAAAAGAAGAAGAAAAAACCTCCTTAGTAAGCGAAATGACAGCCTCACAATATGCCACTTGGCAATTCAGGATAAAGTTAGTTAGGTTAAGTAATAATTAGTTTCTTTTTGAATTTAAATTTTGAAAAAAAATTATGCATTATGTGTTGTTAATAATTAGTTACTTTTTTGAATTTGAATATAAACATACTTAACTATTATTTTTTACGAAAATAATAATTTTTTATATATCTAAAATTACTTCTATTTTACGCTCAATGCGATATTTCAAGTTTGACACTCAGAATTATCTTGTTACAGCTACCATAGTTAAACAAAATTTTATCCAACGAAATTCTTCTACCGATAAGGAATCTATTATGCTAATGAAAACCTTACTGTAGATATTGAGGAAGGAGATGGGCTTTCTGCTATTCCTTTGGAAATGCAAGGCAAGTCTTCTACTAATATAGATGCGTTGTGCGATAGAATTAAGGATGAAATTATTGAGATCTGTTATCATGTGTGAGTGACTTTGCTTATTATTTCATGGTTGAATATACATAGTAATTTGTGGAATAGACTTCTAATTCATACTGAATGATGTATTTTGATTATTCAAATCATCATGTAAATAATAAGTAGTTATATATACTAGATAATATTATATGCTTTGGTATAGTTATATATGTTATATTGATTTAAATCTTTAATATGTATGTTTACTTTATATTTTATATTTTATATTTTATATTTTAATAAAATAAAATAAAAAAAAAAGTCTTTTACAATAAATATTTAAGTTCATTTTTCTCTTTAAAATAATTATAAGACATTGATACTATTCTTTTTGGTAATTTGACACTCAAAAGTACTTTTTAGAAAGATCGGCCAAACACAATTTGTTTACTAAAATGTTGCAAAAAGTACTTTTAAGAATTGGTCAAACACATATTGTTTTTTTTCAAAAGTACTTTAGGATAAAGCACTTCTGGAAAAAGTACTTTTCAAAATAAGCAGTTTTTGGCAGCTTGGACAAACGAGCTCTTATTCTCGCAAATTATTACGAAGGTTTAATTAATTCTATATAATAATAGTGTAAAAAAAAAAGTTATACTATCAAAATAGGGAAAATACATAAAGATCCCCCTGGATTTGCTACTACACACTTATATTTTATAGGGGTCTTACCCCCTTGAACTATTTTCAAGTATAATATTAATTCCACCTTATTAAAGGAATTTTAAATTTTATACACTAATGGAGTAAATTATTTAGACAACCAAATTATTTATTAGGTGATTATAAGTAATTTCTTAATAAAATTAATTTATAATTAGATAATAATATAATGATCAGTAACCTACTATAATTACATATTAAAATTTAGTAATATAAAAAGAATCTTTTACAGTATCAATGTACAACAAAAATTCAAACTGATTAGAGAGAGAGAGAGAGAGAATGCTCATGAGTAGTATTTAATAACATGTGCTTGTGTTGTTCATAATTTGCTGTCTCGCCTTGGTCCATAAGAGGTGCCTTACTACCATTTCTCTCTCAAAGCTCACCTCAGCTCTGTCATCCTGCTGAAGAAGAAAACATGCTTAGGTCAGTTTCATGATTCTCATATATACTTCCATTAATTGTTGTTATCATTTTCCATTTTATTTCTTGATATTTTTTACTAACTTGTTAACTTAACTCCAGGGTCATGTCTATGTCGAGATCCTTGCTTCTTCAAACTCTCAGCAAGAAGTTCTCTACCCAAATAGAAAGGTCTGTGAATGCTCTCTCTCTCTCTCTCTCTCTCTCTCTCTCTCTCACACACACACACACACAAACAGAGTCACTGTCATGGCCGACCTTCTTGGATGAGGAAAAGATTAGGTCCCTCCGTTTTTTGGACACCAGTGCACTCTTATTATAATTAAGTTGTAGAAGAAGTCAAGAACAGATTTTAATTTCTATTTTCTGACAAGATTACATGTGCGGTTTTTGCTTATTAAAACTAGATTACTTTTTTCCTTGCCTGCTTTAGTAAATTAGGAGAGAATTTAATTTTTTTTTCCTAATTTTATCCTTATCTACAATCATTTCCCAAACTAACTGGAGCAATTAGTAATCAAATTTTGATTTTTAAAGTACAGTCAAGATAATTTAGTAAATAAATATATTTAATTAGTATTTTCTCGAGGAGCGTGCAAAATGCAAATTAGACGAGCAGAAGGAAACGGATTGCATACACAGTAGTTGATAAGCTTCTAAATATGTTACTTATTCAGGACAAACGAGTAATTTTTGCATCTTTGTACATTATTTTCGACGAAAATAATTAATGAGCGCATTCTTTTACCAAATATAACCACAAATTGAACATTTGAACTTAATGACTACCTAGACAATAGTAGTCAAGAAGCTATTACAACTCGAATTCATGATAATATAGTTCAAATTGTACCTCTTGGTTAATTACTATTACTAAGTTATCTCCTTGGAAAATTATATACACGTATAATGCATTCTGTGATGTACACTATGAACTACGTGACACTTAGCTAGCGTTTGGCCATAGATCCCAAATTTATTTTGAAAAATTTAATTTGGGTGAAGTTTGGTTTGAAGATGAAAATGTGTTTGGACATACGCTTTCAAAATATATTTTCCAACTTTATTTTGGAAAAACATGTATATAATTCCCAAATTTTGGGATTTTGGCCCAAAATCAGCTCAATAGCTGATTTTGGGATTTGAAATTTGGGTTTGGGATTTGGCCAAAATATGAGCAAAATTTATGGCCAAACATGAGTTTTGAAAATAAATCTCAAATTTATTTTGGGAAAACTTATGGCCAAACGGGCCTTATTCTCTCCATAACAAAGACGATTCTCTTTTATTACTACTACCTTTTTTGTGGTCCCTTGATTCTCTTTTAATTTTTTTTGCGGTCCCTCTTTTCCTTTTCTGGTGAAAGGTTTATAACCAATGGAGTAGTAGTACTAGTAGATGTAAGTAGGGGTGTTAATGGTTCGGTTTGGGTTGATTTTTCCCTAAAAAGAAACCAAATCAAGTAAGTCGATTTTTTCAAATATTGGATCCAAACTAAATCGATTTAGTCGGTTTTTTATCGATTCGGTTTTTGTCGTTTTTTTTTTATTTTTTGGTTATTTATCGATTTTTTCTTAAATATGAGACATACACTACCAAACGCATATTCCGGTAACTACATTTTCAATGTAACACTATCAAATCAATTGCTCTTTGAAAAATCTATCATTTACCGAGATATATTGAGATAATTGAATCAAATAATGATGAATAATTTAAGTACTCAATTAAAAATCGATTATTTTTAACATGAAATAAATTCTTGTGCAGATGCGGCCACCTTTTCGCAGGTGTGGGACCGCAGATGCGGTCCTCTAGCCGCAGAAGCGGAAATCGCTGGAAGGCAGTGAATGCATTTAATCCGAGTTCAAAGTCATTTCCCCCCTACTTACTCCTCACTTGGCGATTTTGGTGGTTCCAAAGAGAGGGTTTCAACATATTATTTCAAGGTAAGTAATCTCCTCCATTATAAGTTAAATTACATGAACATTAGGTAGATTAAACACTAAA